CCAACAACAAAAAAGACCGAACAGCCAAAAAAAACAACACGGGTTCCTATATTCTATTTACATTCTTGGGGTTCCCTGTTACTGTTTTGGGGTTCTTGTTAAAGTCCCTTGAGTTGTATGATGCCAAATTCAGACAACGGCTGAGGCCTCCACAAAAAGGAACCAGCCATCCTGAAGAAAGCAAGGCGTCTTCAATTGGGTTTTAGGCGCTGGCTCACGAAGGTCCTTGAACATATAGCGCCAGCTTCTAAACCCAAAAAGGCGAATTAGGATCTCGATGCTGAAGAAGCCTGGACGGCAACACAGCTGAAATGGCATTCAACACAATATCTCGTAGTCAACCACAGGGCCCTCTTATCACACCTTGTCGTATCTAGCATGCTGCACACTCGTTTGTGCGAACTCGTTTGCCCACATAAATTCTCAGCAAGACGCTACAGAAGCAGTTCTCCATCACCACACTGACATCTTGAAGGGGACGCCGGCCATCCGAGCCTTCTGCGCTCACTGCAGCAGTGGAAAAAGCACAAAAACGCTTTTACCCATTCGCGTCGCAGCTTGTGCAGCTTCTGAAATTCCTTCAATCTTATGCAGGCTTCCAGGCATCCGCCTCTCAGTGCGGCATGGTTCCACTCCACGTCGACTAGCATCCACAAGGCATTCAGCACCTGCAATAATAGAGGTTGCTCTCCTATGCTGTGATAAAACAAATGTCTCGCATGTCAGCACATCTAGCAGTGCACTTAGCAGTCCACACAACCACAACCGACCACCTTGCATGAATCCCTCAGGAAGCCGGCTAATGCATCTGAAACACGATGACGACAAGGGCAACGTTGAGAAAGCATGGGCCTCAGGCACCAAGCTCATGGGAACAAGTAATGATCTTGACCGCTGGAAACTGCCTCGTACACATCGTTTCTTATCGTTGGGCGACTTGACAGACTCCTCCCTGTTGGCTGCGCGCAACTGCATCAAATAAAACGGCTTACCCAAGAAGAGAGGCCCCTGGTGGAAGCCTATGGTGTCCACGCTGGAGCACAGCGGAGTCTGCATGCAAATGTACTGTGCTTACTGTGCTTGAAAGCCATGAAGTGCAAGGTTGAGATGTCACATGGCAGACCTGCAGAGGGTGAGACAGCAACGTCTGACACGCGCCAAGGTGCCAGCGATAAGTTAGAGGCACAAGAGGAACTGCCTAAACACTTCCAAGCAAATTCCAATCCGGAACATCACCTTACTCCTGCTGTTAGGACTCCTATAATAGTGAGGGTTGCGAAACAACACAGCCCCTTGCACATCTCGGCCATCCAGGAGAAACGGTGCCACAGTGGGAACACAAGGTTCAAGCATAGTACCACCAACGGCGCTCAATGAACGCTCAGAAGCCAGGCCCGTGTCTCCGAGCTATGTGCATCAATATGTACACCATTGTTCTGTGCCTCTCCTTCGAACAAAGCAGCCCTGAAAGTGCAGCTGTGGGGCTGTAGGCAACAGCCGCTACCATGGTCTCTCCTTTCAGCTCCAAATCTTTCTGCGTGTAGACCTTGCTACAATTCGGTGGGAGGACAGAATCTGACCACATAAGCTCAGATTGCAGGACTGCACCAGCAGTCAGACATGACTCTCTTCTCGCGCCGAAACTACACAAACCGTGGGGACAGCAATGCCCAGCCCTGCCCTGCGCTCTGTTCAGACAGGGCACACTGACAGAAAACTGTCGAGTGAGCTTGCCGAAGCCTGGTAACTCAAGCACAACGATCAACGCGAAGGAGAAACGTCCAGGCAAGTGCTTTAGACTTGTTGGAGGCTTTTGTCGGCAAGAGTATGCAAGAGTCCAGAGCACATGCCAGAAAATATCAGAGCAGGTTGACTTGTTCAAAAGACACACTGCAAAGACTGCTTTGCGCAGTCAAAGGCACTGGGGCCGCTGCGCCGACTGGTAGACTTCTTCAGGGAGCGCTTCGGCTCTGCCTTCTCGCCGGCCTCTGTCCCGGACCTCAGAGTGGCCCATTCTTGAAAGTTTGTTGCCAGGCAAACCACGGCCCTTCCATCTCATGCAGGTAGGGAGCATTTTGTCTAGCCAAACGGCGACGCTTATTCATTGCGGCTGCTGCGTTCTCTCTGACTCAGAAATGCTGCGCAACATGCAACAGGCTCGCAAAATTCACAAGCCTCTCGAGGTGGACTCAAGTAGTAGCAAGCACTGCGGCCAAGCTTGACAGTCGTAAGTACCAAATGCTGAACATGATTCCTTCCAAACCCTAAGAATTGGAACCGCTCCGCATTTCCCTTTTCTTCGGCTTGACTCTAAATCAATATTTTTCGCGCCGCAGGGTGAAAGCAGAAGCAAGAATTGCTTGCGTGTAGGAGGCACACAGGCGCAAGACGGTTTCTGACAGGTACGCATCTGACACGAAGGTACACCGCAAAAAGGTCCACGCCGGCCTCATGAAGCTGAAGCTGGAGACTGCGCCAAAGAAGGTTATGGAATGTCATATCAAGCCCTGATAGCCCTTCCGGTCTGCAGCAGCAGGCGCAGTCTCGATAATCTGCCACGGGCTTGTTCTCCGGTGTCAGACAGACATCATCTCACTTTTCAGTGCAAGTCCTTTGGGCAGAACCACCTTGTACAGCTGCATGATAAGTACCTTGACGAAGACAAGCAGTTCTAAACCTTCTTCAATATGATTGAAGCTGCAATGATCTCACATTGAGTCGGTTGCGATGCTGCGTGCTGGTAAGGCACAACTGACAGCAGTACCATACCTTGACCCATCAGCTCGAGATTCTCAGGCCGCTGGTTGTGCAAGACGATATCAAGAACTACCTCAGAAGTCAACTTTGATTCAAGAGAATGGCACAGGCCTCACACAAGGTCAAGTTGCTGTCAGTGGGACAGACAAGGCAGAAGTGCTTGGCAGAAGCATGGGAGATCCCCACATTACCTGAGACAGAATAGGCGCAGAACTTGTTGTCCATATGGATAGATGGTGGGAAAATGCCAACATCAGAAACTTCAGTGTCCTGATGCTCAGGTCTGCGCTATACAAAGGTAGAGAACCTGAGGCACCAAATGATGATTTGCAAACATCATCACGCAAGCTCTCGCATCAACTCGCCCCAACAAACACAGGAGCTAGATGGAAACTCATGCGTGAAGCAAGGCAAGTCGGCAAGTATGCACTGGGAAAACAAGCTTGTTTTAGTCTGGTCAAAGGCTTTGAAGAATCAAAATGCAACCACCTCATCAATACATGTGCTAAAGACATTGATTCATTTTGGATCCTTTGGCTTCCAGCTGTGACAATGGGGGCCTTAAACGCGCACGTGGGAGATCGGGAAAGCATATGCAGGGGCCATTTGCCATCAGTTGTTGAAAGGGTTTGGTCAAGGAAGTACAGCCAAATGCAGCGCTTCCTACACAAATGCATTTTGGACTTTGCGTCTGTAGTCTGGCACACACTTGAAGGGGCAAGGATGCTGGGTCGAGATGCGGAAGCTCCAGGGACAGAAATGCTGCAGCACCATAGTTTCACATTCTTCCCAGGCCCACATGCACACCTATGCACCGCATAGCAGAAGCCGCACATATGGCATATGCTGGCCCCCAAAAATCTGGAGCATGCCACTGGGATTGACAGTCTGGCAGGGCTTGCAGGTCAGCACCCCATACAGGCCCAAAAGGGCAGCATACGTTGGAAAGGCATAATGAAAGCAGAACAGGTCGGCAATGAAAAAACTGAGCCTGCAACGTTCACAGTCGAAGCAATGAGTGCGGAAACTCCAGTGCCAATGAGAGCAAGGAGCCCATGTGGCCTGTGAAGGGCGCTCATTTCAAAACAACAGGATTCAGCTTCTCAGGTCGAGGCAGCTGGAGCTGCTCAATGCCAGCAGAATGGGCCGCCAAGACCATGGGAAGCACTATCAGCAAGTGCCTTGACGGTTCGCTGGTGTTGAATAGCTAGGGCCAACAAAACACAAATGATTTGATTACAGGTGAATCGAGGCCCTTTTGCGAATCCGAATTTATTGTTCAGCCTCACAGCTGGAAAATCATTCAGCTTGTAGTTCAAAATACTGATTTGTTCAGAAATTAGCTGAGGCACCACGCGCTGATCCAGGAGAAAAAGTAAGCCAGGAAGGATACGTTCTGCTTCAAATGCCCAAAGATCCAGCGAAACATCACCTTTCTGGCACATAGCCATTTATGCGTGGACAAAGGTAACAAAAAACGGAGCCGCGGCCTGGTAGGCTGTATAGCCTACAGCGGCTGTCAGAGCCAGAGCCACACCAACTACCTGTCAAGTTGCTCTTCGTTTGCTGAGCTTATCAGCAGGCCCATCTCTCTAGGCTTCCTGGGTTGTACCCCTAATGTCGTATCCCTAAAAGGTTTCCCGAAAAAAGCCCCAATATATACCTTATATGAGCCAGTGTAGTCCCCCAGAGTCCCTTGAAGGGGTCCCCAAACCCAGGGGTACAACCCTAGGGGTAAAGCCTGAAACCTTTGAATCTCCGTCTCCATGTGCAATCCCTAGACAGGCCTGATGGTGACGACTCGCAGCTGTGCTGCCTGGAAGGATTGCCAAGCATGGGTCAGGTCGCTCTCCCTAGGCCTCAACCCACACTTCGTTGTTTTGGTGACGACCATCGTCTTCTAACGTCCCATCAGGGGGAAGTTGACACACACTAAGCTGGCGACGTGCGTCATCCCATCTCAGGCCACTGGCCAGAAAGGAGCCTGAAGCTGATTGACAGCTTGAGCTGCTTGAGCCGGTGCTTTGCCTGAATTCTTTTCTGGGTCCTGGCCTGCAAGAGAGAGGAGAACACCCAGCAGCCGCTCTGCACAGACAGCCTCTTCACACGAGCAGGCAACCTTCACATGACACGCTTTTATGCAGACAGAAGTGCTGCTTTGCAAAGATATCGGCTTGACATTCGCTCCGACTGTGTTGACGGCTGGCAGCGCTTCTGCTCAGCCGAAGTTCTGCAAGGAGCACTGCAAGCACCACGAGAAGCCTCACCGAAGAGCTGCACACTCGCGACATACACAAGAGCCTCAGCTCTGGCTTTTGGTGAAATCCACATGTTCCAGATCAAGGTGGCATGCTGTGCGCACCAACACGTATATACCCCTAGAAGCTTTCTGAATCCAAGGGGCTACAGAGACTTGGAACATGGCGTTCGTTAGCCGCAGGTCAATAAAGCTTGCACTCATGAGCCAGGCATAGTTGTAGCCCATCAGTAGCACCGCCTGCGAGGCACAACGGTAGGTCACGCAGACTACACAGCAAAAGCATTCCTTGTATCCGAGGCTCGAAAAGTAACGCGGCGAGCCGTGGCCGCTGTGAGAAGCCGGCACGCAGACCTTTTGAGGGAGAGGCCTCCTGTCAGCGCTGAAAACAAGTCACACTTGGCGTCGCCGGCACCAGATGAGCCCAAAGTCCTCCTGGGAGCTCGTGCACCCAAAGTGTGGCACAAACCTGGACTGCTGCATCCGTACCAGAGCATGAACCTAGAAACGACCTCTGGCTTGTAGCCCTGCTGTCTAGGTCTGTCACGAATAAACAGCTTTCAGCTTGATTAACAACTTGTCATTATCTTGAAATCATCTCCTGGGAACAGCAGACCACCGAGATGGCAGAGCGTCAGGTTCAGCATGGGTGAGGCATGGTGCCCTGGAGCAGCACGTTGCAAAGCCTTACTCCCACAGGCCACGAACGCAACAGGCTCAATTTGCGATTTTGCAATGCTTTGCTCTCGGAGAAATCTGTTGCATCCAAGATGCCTGCAGTAGCTCACCTTCCGGAAGTCAGGGATGGCATGAATCTTGGCAGTTTCTGAAATCAAGCCAGGGAACCGTTGAGGCAGTACAAAGCGCAGGAGCTGACGGCTGCTACATAGGCAAACCCTGACTTCATGGAGGCTGTCCTCAGATGTTCCATGTCGGCAACACAATCAATGAGCATCTCGACATGCCTCTCTGAACTCATGACAATTGCTATACACAAGTCCTGCATGCAAGACTCGGATCCTCGCTATTCATCCAACAGTCAGCATGGCTGATGGCTGGCTGCTATCCAAGGCTGGTCTTCAATGTATGGCTTGGAGAAAAAAGATTTGTTTCTCTACCGCAGTCAGGTGTCTGGTCCTAGCACCTTTAGTGATGAATCTCCAGCCTACGAATCAGCCGCGCTTTGCCATTGAGGCTGTGAGAACTTGGAAACATGCAACCTAAAAGATGGTGCAGCTCTACGCTTTAGGTTGCATTCAGCAAGACTCCATAAGCTGCAGAGCAAATGCCATGTCCAGCCAGCAAAAACGCCGGGGCTCATCAATCAGCTTCTTTGTAGCGGCAATTGTGTTCATGTTCTTATGGGGCAGGCAAACACGTCATGTCAGATGGGGCCACGTCTCAAACAACGGTCGATGTGCAGCACTTTGAAACCTGCTACATGCATGGCACACTCACGGGCAGAGGACATGGAACCGGCGAGAAAACAGGACTTGATTCTCTATTCACCGAAAGCCCCATCAGAACAAGAAGGACCTCAGCATGAAATGAGACATCACTCCCGTGACATAGTTTACTAAATTCACTATTTGGCGGTCTGAATGAGAGAAAAAAAGGAATAAAGACGACCCTTGTGAAGACTTCTTGTAAAAGCTGCTCACACTGACTATTGAACATCTTCGCAGGATAGCAACTGAATCATGGGAGGCTTCATGATCTGCACTGTCAAATAGACTGATGCGAATAAGCAAGGCGTTGAGGTGACATCACGATCATAATGCCTAATAACTGAAATAGGATTGCTTTTACTTTGTCGAGTCAGGAAAATAAACTTCGCAGGTAACCAGGAAGACCCAACAAACATCAATCACCAAAATCCTGGAAACGTAGTGAGAGCGCAGTCCCTGCAGCATAATTAACATTACGGCACAACAAAGGCTTCGTGCCAGCTTGAGCAGCTGGATTCAAGTTTTGCTTGCAGTCACTAGTCGGGCTGGATGACGACTTCTGGGAAGATGGCATAATGAAGGACTGATGGTCTCTCCAAACAGGATACCCTCAAGGGAATCTTAGGAACGTTTTGCAGAACCTGCCATGCAGAATGACCTGCTAACCAGAGGTCGTTGCTTGATTTTTCTTCTCACACAAGTGATAGCGTCTAAAGTCTAGATCTAGAAACACAAGGTCGCCATCTATAGCTTGCCCCGAATTACAAATGTGGGGCAGCCTGGCAAGCCCGACGCCAACCTTGAGTATTTTCTCAGAAACAGCGGAGCTGGAATTGCCTTTGGCAATATCCTTTTGTGCCAGCGAAGTGCTTTGCATCACTGCAGTCATTAACAGAAAAAGGCCGTGCATCCAAGTCCCAGGTGACACACCTTGAATTGTGAGCTGCAAACTCAAGCTGCTGGTGGCAAGAGTTGTGGATTTAACTCTAAAGGGTGCTGAAACCTTCGCAAGAATGGCAGAGCTTGCGCTGGCACGGTGTAGTTGTAGGACCCGAGTCCTGTCAAGCTTGCTTCGCCGCTACATACACTGTAGGCCGCACATACAACGCTAGCTGCCAAGATGAAATAGGCACATTCCTCAAGTCAAGTATGACAAAGCTCAGCTGTTTTGCAAGTTCCAACGTGCCTTGAGGGAAGCGGAAAGTTTTCCGAGCAGCCAGAGCCTTGCAAAAGAATGCTGCACAGAAAGCTGAGGAAACATTGCGACTACATGACACTCTCGAAGAGATGCAGGTACTCTTGAGGTCAACGTTGCCTCGAGTCGCATGAAACAGAATCGGCCCGGCCTGGGCCACTTCACCATGCTTCTTCCGAACGGCAAAAGCCTGGCAACCCGCCCCTCCGCAACAAGGAACAAAACGACTGGCAAGGAAACATCTTCGCCGCCCTTGTTCTGCACATAGAAACTCAAATCATTCTAGCTTGCGCTCACTTTAGCAAATCCAGTTGCTCCTGCAGGAGCTTGACTGCTGCCCTGCTGAAGCATTTGCTGCTTGCTGGAAAAAATGCTGGTAAAGAAGCTTGGCGGCATGTGGGACTGCGGGTCAAGGCATTCGCTCAAGCAGAGTCACAATGGGGCCTTCATGGCCTTGGCGAGATTCGCTTCTGAGGCCTGCCGCAGTAGTGGCAACAAGTTCTAAACAAAAAGTAAACCATGAATCCAATCAAGGCACCACGAGCTCGATAAGCTGCAGTTCACAAACATGCCTGGCCTCAGGCATGTGCTGAATGCCCTACAAAATTCAAGGACATGACGCGCTGAAGCATTGCACACCTTTTAGTTGTCTGAGTCTAAAGCGAGTACTCACCCGTGCTGTGAATTCTGATAACAAAATAAAAAACGCAAGCCCGGCCTCCGTGCTGTTTTTAGCGACGCTCGGTAGCGTCGCAGAGCGACTTAGTGCCTGACTTCACAAGGACAATGCGACAAGGCGAACATGGTAGCAATAGTAAGTGCTGCCTTGCGTAGCTTGTGTAACAACTGTGCCCTGCGGCACGTGTTTCCGAGGGCGAAACACGATCTTTCAGGTTGAGCGAATGCTGTCGTGGCCTGGGTTTAACAGCAAACCTTGAATCAAACACGACTCTGAAGCTATTTTGTTGAATGTGGCATTCTACTCCGCGATGGTACGCCCAAGACCAAAGCAACTGCAACTCTTTTGCTGTCGCGTCATGCAACATTCAAGGCCGAAGCCCGCACAAACGTGGAGAGCTCTGCTGCCGGCTCTCGTGCAAGCGCTGCAATACAAAGCTCCTTCGCAAGCATTCGAAATAACGGGAAACTTTTCATGAAGAATGACATGTCGGTGTTAAGGTCCGAAAGCTTGCCCACGACCATCAATAGAAAATCGCTTATCTTGCCCCGCCAAGGATCGGATAGGAAGAATGCAAACACGCGCACAGCATCACCCCTTCCCCATTTCCGATACTGCACCTCCCCCACCCTGACACTTCTAAAACACCATGCAACGGGTTGCGCATACCTCAGCTCTAACCCAATATTTAAATTGCCTTTTTTGCTCTTCCTGCTGCATCAACTTCAGTTCAAACCAACTCTGCGTGTAAAAAGCTTGCGGTACCAAACTCATGTTCTGGGATCTTGGCAGTTGTTCCGCTCTTGCGTGGCAACACGGGCCACAACTGTACCCCCTGCTGGTGCTCAATTTGTTGCATGCCATCCGAACACTAAGAAAATGAGTGTCCTGTTGATTCGGGAAGCGCATCGCGACGTATCCCACTGGCTCCCAAGTCCTTTGCCGATCACGCAACTCGGCTATCG